TGCAAATCTTCTGCCCATAGCTGCTTCGTTAACAATAGTTATTCTGCTGTTCATAGTTGCTCGGTTACCCACAAGTGTTCTGCTGAGAATAACTGCTCTGATCATAACTAGTCAGTTGTGTAGAGGAATAGCTGGTAGGAGGACAGGATGGAGGTGTGGTGACTGGCTGCATGGCGTAGCTCCCAGATACCTGGGGGTAACTGTAGTTACTCTGTCCTTATCCTAGGCTGCACTAGTTATAATCCCCTGTGCTATATTGAAACTGATTAGTCTCAGAGGGCTTGTTATCATCCTGCTGTCTTGTAGGTACCATACCTGCTGGATGCTGTCCATAGGCTGTGTAAGCAGGCTGAAAGTCATGTGCAGACTAAGCTGCATAGGAGGCCAGGGTGGTGGTGACTGTAGCAGTGGTTGGTGGTATCAATAAGCACCAGTGCCATACCCCTGAACTGGCCGGCTGTATGCCTGGGGGGCAGTTGGAGTAGGATAACCAGTGGGAGGCTGTCCATAAGAAGTTGCATAAGTGGCCTGCTCACAGGTTGCAGTGGTCTGAGCCTGGGTAAAGCTGACATAAATTGTTTCACATATGCCTGGGTGGTCTGTGCATATCCTTGAGTTGGCTGAGTAGTGTAAGCACTGTAGCCTTGCTGGACTGCAGCTTGGTTGTAGGTACTGTAAACCGTGGACAACTTTTTTTCTCCCGAGGTGAATTTTTTTTCCCCTGGAGTAATTTGTATGTGTTCACCAAGAGCTCAGGGCAGCTTTCATCTTAATCCAGAAGTCTCATGGTTCACCAACTGCAGTCCATGGTTAATTTTCCAGACTACAAAGCTCACAGTAGTATTTACTCTGAATTCAATTTCACACTTTGTAGGTGATCATTACTGCAGGCCGAGGTTTCAGCTAGTAACTTCCTACTCCTCAGTCTCCCATGGAGGTGGGGTGACTCTTTGGAGATGTCATTCTTTCTAGAGATTCAGCAATTTAATAAAATAAAATTGTATTGTGGAGGATCTATTTGTTTTATTATAGAAGGGGCCTTTCGGAGTATTTCGTGTGAAAACTCTAAGGCATTTTTGAAAATATCATTTGCTCTTAATTACTTTCTCACATAAAAAATTAATGACTCAAAATATGCATTTAAAATATATCAAAATTAAATGGTTTTATATGTATAAAGAACGTTGTGAAGTGCACATATTATGTATAAGTTGTTGCTATTATTATCATCAGTATTTTTCATGGTATAAAGGATGAGCATTTGTGAATGTGGAAATAATTCAAGTAACTCGTGTCTTTTAACAAACACTACATCCTCATAAATAATATTATTCTTACAAATAATTTAATCTATATATATCATTTTATTCTTTGAAACTTTTACCTACCTGAAAAACGTGACTCATTACAAACTCACAAAGTGAATTTTGGCTCCAGCCTTTTTACATTTATTTATGTAAGTAGCATTGATTGGGTGTCTAAACTGGGCGAGACACTGCACTAGATACTGTGAATCATGAAGACACAAGAAACAATCTCTGCCCTTAAAGAGTTACAATCCAATGTCTTTCGAATTGCAAAGGTAAAAAAAAATTCAAAAAATAACCCCTAACATGTGAGCTATTGTAATCACCTGTGCACACCTGTGCTTCTTTTTCTTTTTAACCCTCTTGTTGCAAGACTTAGTGATAAGTACTTGAGAGAGATTTTGAAGTTATGCAAAAAAAAAAAAAAGTGGATGAAAGAAAACAGATTTTCCTTTGAAGTTTAGAGTTCAAAGCACCACAAAGTCTGTCATAACAATTTGCAAAGACTCATGAACCAGGCAAAACATCTCTTAGGTAAAGATTATCTGGATGCGTTTTTGACTCTGTTAGCCTACATGAAGCAACAACAGATCTTCATTGGGAAGCCTAAATAAAGATGGTCTCAAAGATAAATTGTTAGTGTCTCAAACATCTATGAGAAAAGACATTTTATTAAATAGTAATAATAAACACTTATGAAATATTGAGTTTTTGCTGCTTTCCAAGTACTTGCAAAGTGTGTTCTGGTGCATTCTCTCATTTAATGGAGCTATAATGAATAGTTAAGTTCATGGATCCTTTGACTATTTAACTCAAGGCCAAAAAGCTGGTAGGTGGCAGGGTTAAGACTCATTCAACTAGTAAATCCTCCTCCTTTTCTCCATCCTTTGACTCTTAGAATCATACCTTTGTAGGGAATGAAGGAATTGGATGTGTGGCCTCTTGCTGTTTCCTAATTCCATTTTTAAAAATGTCTAATTCAATAAGGCTTACCCCCATGAAAGTTAAGCATTGATAATATGGACAATAAGTATACAAGTTGAGTATCCCTTAACAGAAATGCTGGGACCTGAAGTGTTTCTGATTTGGGGAGTCTTTTTTTCAGATTTTGGAATATTTGCATTACACTTACCCAGTTGAGCAAATTCAAATCCAGAGTCCAAAATCCAAACTGTTCAAATTAACAGCTCCTTTGAGTATAATGTTGGTGTTCAAAAAGTTTCAGATTTTGAAATATTTCAGATTTCAGATTTCTGAATCAGTGATACTGAACCTGTACCTGTTTCCTATGAAAGTGTTTTCTACAGAAAACCAAAAAGATTGTTTTGACCAATAGATAGCTTAATATTTTAAGATTTTGTTGTTGTTGTTGCAAGCAATAATAAATATTAAGAAGACATTTGGGTGTTTTTTGTCTGTTTTGTCTTAAATCCATTTATTAATAGCAAACTGAACTATCTCTCAGAATTTACAGATGAAATCAACTAAGAAGTTGTAGAAAAGACTCTTTTTATGAATCTGAAAGCCATTAGAAATCAAAATTGTTGTTTCCATACTCTCTCTCCTTCAATTTTTATGGTCAATTACATTTCATTCTGTTTTTAAAAAATGCAATCTAGCTTTCTTAGCTTTTCAAAGGACTTTAACCACTGAACAAGACTCATGTTTTCAAGTGTTAGGTCCAGCCATTATCAGAGAGTTGATAATTTTTAGTTTTTGTTGTTGTTTTTTATGGTCTCTTAACTTCAAATTTTTAGGAGTGAAAAATTTGAACTATCTACCTCCAATCTGGGTTTTTTTTTTTTTCCCAAAGTACTCAATGTGTTGGAATCATGTGGTAAAAACACAGATTGCTGTCATAGTCGTGATGTCTTTGCTCAGAAGAGAGAGTGCATTATCTAGAAAGACACCCTCAAAGATGTGCTACTATTCTATGGGAAATACATATAATTATTATATATATTTTAAATATTTTCAGCTATTGGGACATTATCTTGTATTGAATTAATCAATTAGAAGTATGCCATCTACAAGAGCTTATGGGTATTTTTAAAGGGTATCTGTCTCAAGGGTTTGATGCCCCTGAGTGATGTCAAAGATGAGTCTCTGAACCTTCAAAATAACAAGTTACATCCAGCCTGAATTGTCTTTAGATTTTTGGTATAGAATATATAATATCATAAATCACTAAAAATATGAAACTGAATAAGTCCTAAAGATAAACTTAGTGAGTTTGTTCTTCAAGAAAACCAATGGCTAAATGAAACATTCTTTGGGAAGAGATAATAATAACTAGTAAGATATTCTTAACACACACACACACACACACACACACACACACACACACACACACACTTTCAAATACCTACTTTACAGAATGCAACATATGTGTACTAACACATCTTGGGCTTTTAGATTCCTAGAAAAATCAGAAGAACAACTTTCTAAGATTTGTTACTTTAGGAATAGCATTACAGAATTATTTGATAAAACAAATGATAGTAACAGTAGGACAAAATCAATAGTATTCCCTGATTAATTTTAATGTTCAAATCAAGTACTTACATATTTATATGTATGGTTTTTATGTAAGAAAAAATATTTCTATCCAAACTTTTCCCTTAACCAGTGTGCCAGTGGATCTACTACTAGGAAAAAGAGAAGCCAGGGCAGATCATTAAGCGTTGTATACACTAATTACTGAGGCATGTAATTGAAGGCTAACTTCTTCCCTATGTAAGCCTCCCTAAGCAAAGTTTAGTTGATATGAACAATTGGAGGGACTGATAGCAAATAATACACATGATTGGTTCATAAACATTTAACATGATCACTCCCCCTACTCTTTCTTACTTGCATCGAATAACTCAGGTTTTGACGAAAAGTTAGTATAAGTTCAGCTAATTTAAAATGCGCCCTTTATTGATACCAAAATGAATACTGTGGATGGTACTTGTGGGTGATGAGTAAAATGCAAGATATTTATAAATTAATGCTTATTCTGAAATATTATGTCAAGGAAGCTAAACAAAAATAAAGTTGCATTGGTAAATATAAAGTATATTGGAAAATGGAAGCTGTACTAACTTCATTTCTAACATCGCCATTTTAAATATATTTCATAGAGAGTTAAAAAATCAATATTGAATTTATAATTGACAGTAAAATAAAAACAATATTAAAATGAATTAGATCAGACATATGTTAAGTACTTAGTAACTCTAGGTCATTTTTAGGACACCATATCTTTGTGTTCATATTTTCACGATAGTGTAAATCTAAAATATTTTGTATAAAAAACTATGTACAAAATTTGTTTAGATTTCATAAATATATTTATATGTTACCTTTATAATATATAAATGGTTGATTAAAATATATAGATAATACATTTGAGGAGACTTACAGGACTATAATCATCACTTACAGAGTATTACCAAAATATTGTCACTAAAAGGCATCTGAATGTTTTTACTTTATGTTGACATTTATTTTAGGCTTTATTTTTTGTGTTTAGTTTTCAAATGAACTTTGTTGTACGTCCTCAAACTACCATGCCAGAATGACATCTTTTAAAAATTGTACATCAAAGAAAATTAAACAAAAATATCATATCATATTCATATCGTCCACACAATTCAAAATGCTACACAAGTTCAGAAATGTGAGACATTTAGTGTATGTTTGTCTTACCTGCTTGTGAGCATGGTCATATGAATTAATGTGATTGTCAAACTCCTGATGCTTATAGTACTGCTTGTCACAGAGCTCACAGTAAAAATTGGCCTTTAGATCTTCCAGAGCTTTCGCTATGTTGTTTTCCTTCTCAGCATAGTCCTGAAAAATAAAATTTCAAGGAAGGATACAATTAGTTCTCCCTTGATTTACTTTGTTCTGACAGCTGTCAATTTCATTGAACTAATAAAAGTTAGAAAAGGAAAATAACAAAGAGAAAAAATAAACACTAGCAAATTAAATTAGAATAAAATGTGTCTTAAAAATTAAAAACCTTACAGAAGAAGCCAAAATAAATAATAGAAAGAAATGCATAATATGAAGGAGAAAATCAAACTATAGAAAGAAATAGAAGCCCTTGATTGAACAAGTTCCTAAGCTGGGTTAGCATGAAAAAAAAAAAAAAGTAACGAAAATCATATAGCTTTGTTGATTCAACTGTGGATTCCTGAAAATGGCTTAGTTAACACAAAACCTTTCTATTCTGCTATTCTGGGCATCTAAACTGTGTCCTGTTTGAAGAGGTCTATGTTGGTGCACAAATACTCAAATTTCGTATTTTGGTTTTTTGTTTCCTTAAATATCCATATACTAACTGATTATTCATCCTAACTAGATTTCATTTGACTAATGTTCTCATCTTGACCCATATCAATTTAGACTGAACTTTAAAATAATCTCTAGTCTTTAGAAAATAAGACACTTTTCTTCAAGTTATTTACCTAAATTGAAAAGGATTAACCTGCATAAGCAGATTGTTTTTATCAAGCTCACAACAAATGAAAACAGTGATATAACCACACTCATGAAAAAAATGAAAATATACTCAGTTATCATTCGCTTTTGTTTACAAAGCATAGAATAGCAGAATGTTTGTGACTTAAGTTTTCTTAAACCTACATTCACTTGCTATCCTGTCTCCTTATTTGTTTTTTGCTTTTTTTTTTTTTAGTTTTGAGTTGGAGTCTCACTCTGTCACCCCTGCTGAAGTACAGTGGCATGCTCATGGCCACTGCAACCTCGACCTGCTGGGTTTAGGTGCTCCTTCCGCCTCAGCCTTCCAAGTAGCTGGAACTACAGGCATGCACCACCACACCTAGCCAATTTTTTGATTTATTGTAGAGATGAAATCTAGCCAAGTTGCCCAGGCTGATCTCGAACCCATGGGCTCAGGCAATCCTCTCATCTCAGCCTGCCAAAGTACTGAGATTACAGGTGGTGAGCCATCACATCCAGCCTCCTAACTCTTAGTGTTGTCAGGCATGAGTTAAGTTTACATGTTGAAACTGGCCAATATTTTCACTGAAGTACTAATGTGAAGACATACACTTCAGTTCTCACAATAGACTATATTGTTTCTAACTGCTAGATTTTCTTATATTCAACTGCTTTAAAATTCAAAATAACTGCATATTCAATCCTCTTATATGCTACTATAAGACACTCTCTTAGGCACTGGGATTTAGAGAAGAAATGATGTAATCTTCTATATGGTAGTGGCACTTATTCTTCCCTAATCTGTAAGCTATAAAGTTTGAATGTATGAATGTTTAACTTGCTTCTGCAAAATCTAAAAGTGATTTAACAAATGACTAATAGTTTCCTAATTTTATTGTACTGTATAATTGTCCACACATCACATATAATAAAGTTCACAGTGATTTGGGGTTCATGCCTTAAAGTAATCAATAAATATGTTTGGCATCATCTATAACCACATAGCCCACTTTCTCACTTGAAAGACAGTGATCCATTGTTATGTATGATTAGCTTTATCAACTGTACAGCAAAGGTAATTGCTATAGTTTGGATGTTTGTCCCATCCAAATCTTATGTTGAAACTTGACCCCACTGTTGAACGTGGACTTGATGGAAGGTGTTTGGGTTTGAAGGTGGATCCTCATGAATAGATTAATGCCCACCAGAGTGTATTGAATGAGTTCTTGATCTATTTGTTCTCATGAGAGCAGATTGTTATAAAGGTGTTTGGAATCTCCCCACTTGTTCTCTCTTGCTTCTTCTCTCATTGCATGAACTTTGAACATGCCAGCTCTCCCCTTCCCCTTTCACCAGAATCGGAAGCAGCCTGAGATTCTCATCAGATGCAGAAACTGGCACCATGTTTCCTGTGCAGCCTACAGAACCATGAACCAAATAAACCTCTTTTCTTTAAAAATTATCAAGCCTCAGGTATTCCTTTATGGCAACATAAATGAACTAAGACAATGATAAATGATAAAATAATTTCAATTGCTTATGCATGATTCTATCAATTTCAATAATTAACATGCCATTTCTTAGCATATTTGTTAATTATTCCCTATTATTCTATTTGATTGCTTCTGTTATATTAAAACATTTCATTTTAAAATATAAAAATGATTAATATAGATCTAAATTGCTTACTGAATTTTTTTGTCTGAATTGCTTACTAAGATCTTCAAAATAATAGTTTGTGAATTATCCAATTTAAATGAAATAAGAATTAAGTAATATGATTTCAAGGCTAAAGTGTGTGAAGTAGAGATAACATCCTAATCAATATAGTAGTTATGTTATAATGGCAACAGTTTTTGGTTGACAGCTGAATTAGCTCTCAGAACAGTCTTGAACTAACAGAAATTTCTCAGTAAACTAGTTGAATCTTCCAATTAATTATAATTACGGTAGGACTACTTTCTCTTTCTAAATATTTTATTATTTCTTATTGTGGTATAAGTTATTTTTTCTTTCTGAGATTGTAACGTCTCCAGAGAAGCAATAATTGCTTCCTGTTTTTTATGGAACAGAGATTCTTGCAAATAGCTTTCTTCAACAATATTAGTTTCAGCCTAGATTTGAAGAGAAAAACAGTAATTTAATGACAGCTGACATTTGTTCAGTGCTTATTTAGGGCCAGGCACTAATTGAGAATTTGAATGTATTCACATATCCAATCCTGATCAAAATGGTAGAGATTTGTATTCTCTACATTTTCTCACAGGAAAGTTAAGTAACTAGCCCCAAAACATAATGAATAAATATAAAGCCCATACTTGAACCCAAGTATTCTGGTCCATAGCTTTTAATTATTTTTTTTAAAAGGGAGTTGAGTATAATACTGCCCATGTATCCACCACTCAGTTTCAACAATTAACAACTCAAGATTAATCTTGGTTCATCTTATCTTATCCCATCTCACTGACTTGCATCTGGCCCATATAATTTTTAAGAACATTTCCAACTTCATATCATTTTATCTGTAAATCATTCATTGTGTATCTCTAAACTAGAAAGACTTTTAACAAGCATAATGACAGAATCAGTGTCTGATCTAAATAAATGAACTAAAACAACAGAGGAATCACAATTATACTTTATTACTATCAAATATCTAGTCAGTGTGTTCAAATAGTTCCAATTTTCTAATGTTTTAAAATGGGTTTTATACAGTAGAAAGATTTGGCTAGGGAAACTTCAGGGCTGTAAAAAGTCCCAAGCCCATTAACACCTGCAACAGCTGTTGCAAAACCAAGCCTGCAAGCAAGAAGCTAAGCTAGCAGACACTTCTCAAAAGGAGACATATGAGCAGCCAACAAATACATGAAAAAATGCTCAGCCTCATCAATCATCAGAGGAATGCAAATAAAAAGCACATTGAGATACCACCTAAATTCAGTAAGAATGGCCATCATTAATAAAAACAACAGATGCTGGTGAGGATGCAGAGAAAACGGAACACTTCTACACTGTTGGTGAGAAGACAAACTAGTTCAATCTTTTCGGAAAGCAGTGTGGCGATTCCTAAAAGAACTAGAAATTGACCTTCCATACGACCCAGCAATCTTCCTTCTGGGAATATACCTTGAGGAACTTAAATCACTCTACAGGCAAGATATCTGCACACGCATGTTTATTGCAGCACAATTTAAAATCACAAAACCATGGAACCAACTGTGCTGGCCATCAAAAACTGGACTGGATAAAAAAAACAGGCACAATAGAATAGTATGCACCCATAAAGAAGAACAGACATACGGACTTCACAGTAACTCAGATGGATTTAGAGTCTATAATACTCAGTGATTTATCACAGAAACAAAGATCTAGTATCACGTGTTCTCATTCAAAGGCAGATCCTGAACATTTACCATAATACTATAAGAAAGGGACTGGCAGTAGCAGGACACTGCCAGGGAAGAGTGGGGACATATAATGTAAGTAAGGGCACCTGATCTCAAACCAGGTTAAGTGGAGACCAAAGGGAGGCCCAAACTTTACCTGTAAGAGAATCACTTGTATAACTAATCCTAAATTGTACCCCACATCTTTAAAATAAATTTTAAAAAAAGATTTCACACCTACCTATTTATATCTTATCAGGCACACCTCCAGCAGCTTAGTCCTTTTATTCAAGATGCTTGTGATTAAGAGCCAACTGCACCAAAGCAAGAACTAGCTTAGAGACCCCTGGGGCATGTACAACAATAGTCAAGGTTGATCTAAGATAACCATGAAGTTTACCTTCATTATATGCCCAACATAATATCATTAGAATGATAATCCTATCAGGGTATGACCCTATCAGACCTGAAAATCCCTTGCCTGAAAAGAAGGAGTAACAGAGATTTAGCCCTAAGACCACGCATTACTAGGAAAAATCTACTCCAGACCTACTCCAAAAATCTACTCCATAACATCCATAAGAATAAAAGGTATAGCTCAACAACCGCTGGGGGCAGAAATAGCAGCCTTCCGTAGGCTGTTTCTGCCCTCTTTCTTGGGAATGTACTCTTTTCTGCTCAAGGAAGCAACTTGCTTATTCTGCTTCTCTGAGTGTCTCTTTTTTAGTTCATTCCAAAAGTGAACACTAGAATCTGACATCAACCATCTTATGCTGGGGACAACTCCCCTTTTTCTGGTAACAGGTTTTTCAATACAAGATTCAATTAAGGTTCATACAGTTTCTTGGTCTTTTTTTATTCTATAAATCCATAACCTTTTGTTTTTTTCTTCATTATCATTTATTTTGTAGAAAAAAATACCTTAAAAAAATTATACTTCACATTTCAAAAAAAGTTGAAAAACTAAAAAAGACAATAAACTTTTATATGGCCTTCA